TTTTGCAATATACTACGTTTGCCCGTTTGCGTTTTTTGAAAGGTAGCAGGTATATGGAAGATATCGTGGATTGGGTGAAAACCGGGAAAAGAAGCGAGAAATGTCACCCGAGCATGCCGGCGGGTATGTACGCTGATACGTCTTTAAAGTTTGCCGATGCGTAGAGCTTAGTGGTCCAACTACAGGCTTTTTAGAATATAGTCTTCATGAATAAGCCGGAATAAGCCGTAAATTGTCCTTCAGAAAGAAAAGAATGCGTTGTTCGCACTCGATTACTTCTGGGGGCTTTGAACGCCGTAACGTGGAAAACGTGAGATAAATTTGGACGCAGTGATCTTCCACTGTCGATCCTCGTGGAAACTACACATACCAACACTAAGTTTGTCGGCAAGTGAAGACGAGGTGAGATTTGCGAACTCGACGAGATGCTGCTTGGTATGTACCAGGACGAGCCTGTTCGCGAATTCATTTTTTGTTAGAACTGTTAAAGAGTGGAATGAATTGTCTGTCATGCAAGTGTGCTGTAAGAATGAAAAATTGTTTATGTCGTTTCTGTAACCCCCCTGCTGTAACGCCTTTGGACAATGCGGGGTAACCTTTGAATAAAGAATAAATAAAGAATATAGCACCTCGCCCAGAAGTGTGCTTGTTTGTGGTTTCCCTACTTTAATCGCTGCTGTGCAGGCAGGTAGAAGCACTACGGCTTTGCTTCCACGTAAAACACTCTGAACGTCTTGATAGCTGATGTTCTAGAACCACAAAACACTTCTAAAAAAACAGGGAAGTTAGCCTTTGAACACTTCCGGCGACAAAGCTGCTAAATGGGGTATCGTACGCCCTTTCCTTTCGCCTCAGTGTGTTACATCTCCCCGCACGGCTCTAAAGACTGACAAAGGAACGCTCCATAGATTCTCGAAGTGTTCGTGAAAACAACAAATTGTAGAATGACAGTGTAGCTTTCATTGTAAACAGGACGATAAATGACACAGTCGTCTGCGAATAGACAAATGTTAGAAGCTAAGTTACTGGGGAGGTCGTTAATATAGATTAGGAATAGCAGAGGACCAAGCACAGCGCCTTGAGTATACGCCGGAGGTCACAGTGGATAGGGAGGAGCGATGGTAGTTAGCACAAACGAACTGCTTACGGTTATTCAAGAAGTCGCATATCCAATTACAAACAAGACAATTAAGGGTAAGACGTGAAAGCTTCAAAAATAATCTATTATGGGGAAGTTTGTCGAAGGGTTTTTCGAAATCAATGAAAATCGTGTCTACAGGTATGTTAATATCCAGGCTAGAACTTAGGTCGTTAATGAACAGGGCGAGTTGAGTGTCCTTTTTGAAGACCGTGTTGGTTAGGGTGAAAGAAATGTGCTGAACGTAAGAAATGTACTATGTGGGAATAAATTATGTGTTCCATCAACTTAGAGCATACACTTTTGATCGAAATGGGGCGATAATTACTCGGTGAAGAAGAGGGACCTTTTTTCGGGAAGGGGAAGAATCTTACCATGCAAAAAGACACGAAAAGTATCGTAATAACTGGGGTTTTACGTCGTCGCAGTGTAGGCACGCCATAGAGGAGGGCTCCGCAAATTCGCACCTTACGATGTGCTTTAAAGCGCATAGATATCGCGCAATACGCATACGAGCATCCATAGCGTTTCACCTCGAAGTACGACAGCCGCTGCAGGAATCGAACACGCGACTTTCAGATCAGTGGCTGAGCGCCCCAACCACTTTATCACTGTGGATGAACGAGACTATACGAGTAGAATACAGCAGACCCTTGAGACTGTGGCTGAAGCCAGCACCCGGGGATTGGCCAAAAAGCAGTTAGTTTTAAATGAAAAATTATGAAATTAAAGTTCGAACTTTGATTATTTAGACAGGAGTATAAATAAACGGAACATGGGAGAGGCCTTTGTCCTGCAGTGGACGTAGTCAGGCTGATGATGATGATGATGATGATGATGATGATGATGATGATGATGATGATGATGATGATGATAAATAAATAAGTAAAATTACGAGTACAAAAATACAGAATAGGAGCAAGAATTTAGCAAAATGTGGAAGAAGCAAATAATCGCACAGTATTCTCTATTGCGACCGCCTATGGGGGGGAGGGGGGGGGGAAGCCGCATTTTCACGACGGAGCACGGGATGTTGATGCAATACCCAGACGTAAATTCCCAACGCGTCCTCAACAACAACAAAAAAAAAAGCGTGCCTGATCTTGCCAAATACCCGTGCTTGCTCGGAAAAGGAGTATTCTGTTCCGTCCTGCGGTTCCATGCAGCTATTCCCATGAAATGTAAGGAAAAAAAAAACGTTGTTCGCCTATAGTGTAATACACGGAGACGGGAAACTGCGAGACTGCTATAGTTATTTTGCATAACCACTTTTATTGTGGGTCTCGAGCTTCGTGTACACGAGGTTGGTTCAATATAGAAGGGCAAGCTTGTCGAAGCATTCAATTCGGTCACGTTCCTTGCGCCGAGCAAAACAATGTGAAATGCAATTTGTTCGCCAGGAGAAACGACGTTTTCTGTATGCATCGACAGCGTATACCTAAAATGACGATGTTGTGTACTATGCGCTGGGTTTCCCGGCTTCCATGCCACTTTTCGCAGCGTACTTTAATATGCAATGATAAGCAGTTTGCGATAGCGCTACGCCTCGCGTATGCATACGCTATTGCGGTTAGGTTAGTGTCGTTGCTTCGCGGAGTAAAAACAGCAAGCGCAACCGTGATACTTCCTGAGTAAATAGCGTCATTTAAGTTACATTAACAACACCACGCGGCACACTGGCTACGCCAAACAATGCCGTTACCGTCTAGCACATATCTCGCTAAAATTAACGACGAAAGGACGCTGAAGATTAATAGCTCGTTATCGACAGATTCTGAGGAAGGTGTGTCTATTTTACGTTAATGCTATAGAGTTACTATTTTGGAGGGTTTTGAGAGCTTCTAACAGGTTTTTTTTTTCTTTAAAAGCGCGATGCATTAGTATAAACAGAATGTAAAAATACAAATTCCATCAAATTCTACGAAAAATGTTCAGTCGTCAGCAAGTTTAATACGACCCTCCGACCGTGACCTGGTGAAAGTTTTCAAGATTTAGCTTAAAGAAAATTGAGTGATTGATTGATTGATCTATATGTGGTTTAACGTTTCAAACACCATATGTCATGAGAGAGCGCGTTTATTGGAGGGCTCCAGAAATTCGACAACCCTGGGTCATTGGTGCACCCAAATCGAGCACACGGGCGACATGTTACGCTCTCAGAATGGCCACCGGCGGATTCAAAACCCACGACCTGCTTGACGGGAATTTGGGAAAGCTCTAATACAATGAAACTTAGCGTCGGATGAGGACTTGAAGCTAGAAATTCGATGGCATGCCGATTCTACTGTAAGATATGCTACGACTATAAAAACATTTTTATTTTATTTCTTGAAGCATCTAGAGAACATGTGAGCTCAGGTGCTGTGTTTCATTCTTTCAACGCTAGCATTGTTCAATGACATCGCTCATTTAATAAATACCTAAGGACTTACGACGTCCCTACTACGTCTGTCATTATGTTTTTGTTTTTTCTTTAGGTAAACCTTCAGTATAAGCGAGTCTGTTGCCGACAATAACGTCATATCGAGCTATCTCGACTATTTACTTTTCCTCATTTGCAGCACTCCACAAAGGCAAGAAAATGGCGATAGCCTATGAAGTGCGATTGTATCAACGCCCGTATACTGCGTATTATCGGAGAACGTATAAGGTCAGGAGCTATTTGCTGCGCCAATACAATGTTTCGCAATTTTACGAGACGTTCTTTTGCGGCAGTTAGGGCTCTTCGATAGTGTTCCTTTATCTCTCACACTCAAGGAGGCTGATTCTGGCGACACAATCTGCGAGACACTGCAAGGTCGTGCGAATCGCCAACGGACTAGAACTCCGTGGTGAGACAGTACACTCACATTCTTCCTCCGCATATAGGTATGGTTTAGTAGGTAGAACGTTAACGCATACATGCAGCTTCGAAGTTAAACAGCAGCAGAATACAAAAGAAGCCTCAAGGAAGCAAATGCTTGGTGCTGAAAAAATCAACCCTCGTTTTGCATCCTTTGCATCCAAATGACTCCCGTCGTTTTTCGCGCTGATTCAACGTAAACGCATCAATTCCAATTTGCCCAGCCTTTTGTATTTCACTCGTGCGAGTACCAAAATGACTATGTGTGCCGTCTAGCGGGAAGCCGTCTGCTGTCGAGAGCACAGCTATGGCTGCGCATTCGCTGGAGCAGTACTCTCTACAGAAGACGACACGCCACCAGACGGCGATACCGGCACGTGCTGGCGTGGTCCGTGTTATTTTGTGGTCGACTGTTGATCATTGATTTGATATGTGAGGTTTAACGTCCCAAAACCACCATATGATTACGAGAGATGCCATAGTGGAGGGTTCCGGAAATTTCGACCACCTGGTGTTCTTTAACGTGCACCCAAAGCCGAGCACACGGGCCTATAGCATTTTCACCTTCATACAAAATGCAGCAGCCGAAGCCGGGATTCGATCCCGCGACCTGTGGGTCAGCAGTCGAATACCTTAACCGCTAGAACACCGCGGCTGGGCTTGTGGCCGTACCCTTCCATTTGTAAGCGTTCAACGTAGTTTTCCCTCTCCCTCTCTGTACCTCTTTGCCGTTCAGGCAGAGCTTGTCTACTGATCTTCGGCGTTTCATCTTACTATGCGCAGTTTCGCAATGAACCCTTACGAACGGGCCTAGTTAATCACGTTTCTGCAGGGCAGCTAACCGGAAGAGCACGCAGCTAACCTTCAAGCAGTCTTTCTTTCCCAAATAAGATTCACCTAGTGAAAACTACGCGAAACAATGCCAAGATTGGAGTGTCTGCTTCGTCATCGTCAAGTTCGGCTCGCCGATAAAAACAACCCCCGAACGCCACACCCATTCCGACCGACCAGCTGACACGAGGACCGGAGGCCTTCCACGATAGCGCAGCTCACGATAGGGGCGCCGAACAATGGTGACGGGTGCCCCGAATGACCCGACCGATAGCGCCACTGGCGGCGATAAGTGCATGCATAGCACGTGTGCGTTAAATCCGCGCCGACCAGAGCACCAGCGACATTTGGTGTGACCAGAAGGTACGTACCGGCCAGTGATACGTTACGACTTAGACAACGAATGCGCTGCCGTTGTGTTCAGGGAATTTCTATCATTTGGACAAAATATCGAACTAAGATATTCATCTGTTTGCTGGGAAGAGAAGTAGAATATAAAGTCAGAGATAGGCTGATGTAGATTACTTGGCCCGTATAAGATAAAAAAAACATAAGAACTCTGCCGACTTCATCCTACTGTGTTATTTGTTATACTTACAAGTTCAAACGTTGGGCCAATAGCAGACGACTTTAATGAAGGAAAAGGATTGCACACTCCGCTATTATTGGTTGAGGAAAAGAAAATCAAATGCGGTGGAACCGAGTTTGAAGTAGCGACGCCCAAATCTCAGTTTACGACCATGCCTATAAACGCAAGTTAGCAGATTCGCGTCGGCACATAGCTTTGAGTACAAGCCTGTGGTATCCCCTGTTCAGATGAAGCATGCACAGATTGCTGCCTGAAAGTGCTTCCCGAAATAAGACAGACCACATAAGCGTTCAGTTGGCCATTCATATTTCGGAAGCAACAACTTCATGATGTTCACGAGAATAGACTGTCAAATGCCCAAAATAGCGTAGTAACATGCTTCTAGCAGCTACTTGCTCCGAATCCGTAGTTGTTCTTTTTAGTGAATTTTTCGTCATGTAGAGAACTATATCTCATACTACGTGGTTAACGTACTTTTCCTTCCCTCTTCTGTTTCGTTACTGCCCCCTATAATTTCCTTTTTGTTTAAACAAGGTAACCCTTAACATATAAACAATTCATATAATTGGACATAACGGTTGCTTGGGCTAGTTGGTGCTTTCGAATGTGTGTCTGTTCCTAAGTCATTTTTCTTCATGTGCAAACGTATTGATATAGTTCGGAACAATGGAAACAAATGGGGTTCTTTGTGGCCAACTCGATGTCAGTGTACGAGGAATCACCCTCTTATACAAGCCAAAACGTAAACTCTAGCTTCAACCAATATATTGTTTTTCTATAATCGTCCACCATGGTAGATCAGAGTGGTAGATCAACGGTGCCGCTCGGCTGCTGAACCGAAGGTCGCGGGTTCGATCCCAGCCTGGGCGGTCGTATTTCGGTGAAGGGGAAATGGTAGAGGCCAGTGCACTGTTCGATGTAAGTGCACGTTAAACACCAGATTGCCGCCTTATAATCGTGTCGTGGTTTTGGGACGTAAAACTTCAGTTATTATTATTTCTTTAATCAGCACGCTGCACTGTTGATGTATGCGTACAAATTGACAACATCGTTGTTACCGTGCTCTTGAAGTTGGACAACTCGTAGCGCGCGAGCCCAAATTCATAGACAGATACGCCAAGGTAGAATTTGTTGAGAAATTCTCAATTATACAATCACCGAGTGTGGGGTATACGTAATGAATACTAAATAACTTGAGTGGATTAAAATGAAGAATATGAAAACTTGCTGTTGCTTCCGTGTAATGGTACTCAACAGTGACGTGAGAGTACTTCTTATACGGCACAAAATGAGAGTGTGAAAAGATAGTGCACGTATCTTCTCAGGTTTTGAGTCGAAGTCTCTGCTACAGAATTTCTATCTCTAACGATACGATGCGCGCTTGCGTAAGTGCACATATTCTAATCGGCGTCAGCGATAAAGGCCGTATGATGGAATTGGCGTGTGTATCGCATTCATTTTTTTTGTCTTTCCATACGGTCTTCCTTGTTGTCCAATAGTACGACAGTCTAGCTGCTGTCGTACTATCGAGACGCAAAGAAACGTGAACAGTGCGGCATACTACGCTGCTCACATTTCTTCGCAAGCGGTTATGGCCAGAGTTGTCCTCATACTTGAAGACTTATCTTCGAAACGTTAAAGAACAAATCTGGCGCCTATTTAGTGCCACTAAGCTAAGATCTCTATGAAGACAAAGGCGGACAGCAGAGCACTAACGGCCGTTCTGTTCGCGTCTCTACCCATATACTGTATAGCGCATGTACTCTGTCTTTTTTACATGGCACAAATGGTATCCACACTTTCTAACAATACTTTGTATTCATCACTCTCTCTCTTAAGGTACCCTACGTATAGGTAGCGGAACTAGGCAGCTGTATCAGTGGACTTCAGTTCGAAGATTGGGCGCATTGCAGTATGCCGGATGCCAAGGAAGTGCTGGTGACGGGCGGCGCGGGATACCTGGGCTCTTGCCTGGTGCCGCTCCTGCTGGACCGGGGCTGGCGCGTAGCTGTGTACGACACCTTCTCCTACGGCCTGGGTCCTCTGCTTCCGGTAGCCCACCGCGTGCGCCTGATTCGTGGCGACGTCCGCGACGGTGCGGCGTTGGCGTCCGCGCTCAAGGGCGTCGGGGCCGTGGTGCACTTGGCAGCCATCGTGGGCTTCCCGGCGTGCAGTCGTGACCCCGACCTCGCCGAAGACGTCAACGTGGGCGGCACTCGAACGCTGCTCGAAAAGCTCTCGCCTTCGCAGCGAGTCGTGTACGCCTCCACAGGTTCCTGTTACGGCGCCGTCACTGACGGTCTCTTGCACAGAAGAGACCCCGGTATCACCACTCTCAGGTGTACGGTCGCACGAAGGCGGAGTCCGAGAAGCTGGTCCTGAAAAAAGGGGGCGTCGCGCTGCGTCTCGCCACCGTGTTCGGCGTGGCTCCCCGGATGCGCTGTCGACCTGCTCGCCAACGACCTGTCCCGGAGGGCCCTGCGTGACGGCGAGCTGGAGGTGTACGAGCCGCACTTCTGGCGCACCTTCCTCCACGTGCGTGACTGCGGCGAGAGCCTTCGTGCTGGCACTCGACCGCTACGACGAGATGCGCGGTCGCGCCTTCAACGTAGGAGACGACACTCTGAACGTGACCGAAGGCGAAGCTGGCACGGACTCATCTGCGAGCGGGCCGGGGATACCCGGCTGGTGCTGGGCGCTTCAGGTCGAGACCAGGACTGTCGAGACTACCGCGTGTCCCACGCACGTATTCGAGAGCTGGGCTTCCGAGCGAGCATCTCCCTCGAGCAAGGCGTCGACGAGCTGATCCGAGTGCTGCCTCTCATGGCACCCCACGAGCTTTACATGAACTAGGCCCCACCTGGCAGTGCTGTCTTAACAACGACGCTGTCAAAACTGCTACCATTAAATGTTCTGTAGTCATTGAAGCTTCTACTTGCACTCGAGCCACACAGAGCTCGTGTTTTTATAGGATGTGTGACGCCAACAATAGGCTGGAGAAGCTACTCACCTTCGGGCAAAAGACAGAACCTTCTTCTCTCCTTTCGAAAGTCTAGGTGACAACTCTCTAGACCACCTAAATCATGGCTCACAATGCAAGCATCCGCCTGTGTATGCAGAGTAATATTGAAAACTGGGCAAAGTGGTAACGATTCATTGTTCGAGGTAAACAGCGCGAAAAACGAAGCGAGAGAAATAGAAAGACACAAAACCAGCGCTGACTTTATACCGGTTGAAAGTCGGGGCTCGTCCTGTGCCTTTCTCTGTCTTCGTTTTTCGCGCTGTTTACCTCGAACAATGAGCCCATTTATAGTTACGTTCAGAAAAAAAAGCACGCAGGACTTCGTACAAAGAAAACCGTTAAGTTTAGTGGGGCTAATGCATGGACTTGTGTTGCACTGGTGGCTCGGAGCGCATGGATGAGCAGAGGACACTGAAAACCTAACGCATTAGTACCACTAGCCCATGACTGTGCTGTTTGTGAACATAGTACACGAGGTCGCTGTTGCCGCATCGGTAAAATCGCTGTTTTAAGCAGTCATGCTCAACACCTTCAATTGTGTGGTGAGTCCACTACACGTTGAAATAAATTTGTTTTAGTTGCAACGTCTGTGTGATCAATATTGACCTCTGTCATGGTCACGAACCAATGGCTGTGACAACCATAGTCTATTTTTCTAAAGAACAGTCAGATATGATTCAGATAGTATTTAGAGAAAAGGCAGAGAAATCAGGCTTTACCATGGAAAGGTTTCCTGAGCATATACAATCATGCAATCCTAATAACCAGTGAAAGGTTAGGTTGCTGACTCCGCAGATGTCGATGGAAAAGCTACATCGACCACACCATCGAAGAAACGAATTCACAGGGAGCAACTCAGTAGCAGCTACATCTCGCTGCTCCATCGTTTGATTCAAACTAGTGTCAAGAAGTTCCCTGACTATAGCGCCCAGCTATAGGTAGCACGAAATGTGCTGAACCTAAGGCGCAGTGCTGCTGGAGGCATGCGTTGTTTTAAAGATACAGCACTGCTGTGTGGCTATCGTATTTGCAAGTCTATCCGCAGAACTGCAACCCAACTTTATCGCGAAGCTACGACTGAAACACCAATTTAAAAATAAGTTAGAAAACTACGCTGTTGGGACTTGAAGCCTCGGGCAAGTCGCACTTGAAGTCCCGCCTTCTTGGCGCTGAAAAGGCAGCCTCACCGTGCGGCACGCCTTCTCAACAGCTGAGCGAATCAAAAGCCGTTCAAGTCGAGAGATGGAGCAGCCGGCAAACTATAACCCGTTCTCAGAAATGCAACCAGTGCGCGCAAAGTGAATCTGCTTCAATAGTACCGATTGCTGGCCGGTTGCCGGGTTTCTTCAATGAACTCGCTCACGGTCAAAGCGGCACTTGGGCCATCACAAACCATAGAAAAAAAATAATAAACCCCACGTACCATGAGAACCGTTGCGATGCGGAGCATGCGGATAGAAAGTGACTGCTACTTAGAAAAATAGAGAGCTGAGTTTGTTCGCACGTAATTCATTCTAGAAGAAACGGCGTGCAAACACGGACGCGAACTGTGTTGTAATTTTTTTTATTGCGCCAAACTTTACAACATGACGCTTAAAAATATATGTGTACAAATGGTGTTTACGCACGGACATATTTCCAACTGTCACATATGTTTTATATAGCCAGTTGTTTTACACTCGCGTAAAACGGTGTTGCGAATACCAATAGCAAATGGGTATCCGCAACACCAAAAGCTGTAAGCTGATATGCAGCGCTTGTGCTTGCGATGACAGCAGGCCCTGGATAGCGCTACGCAGATAACGCTTAACCACAACTGACGTTAGAGTTACCTAAAGGTAGCATCTACAGTAACTCTAGTTTACTTCAACCCGACACGATTGCTGCACGATAGGAGTAAGTACACATGTGGTATCTATAAAATCAAACCGCCAGCATTGAAACCACAATTGAGGTTTCAGGAGCACGACGCCTGCAAATAGGTTTCTTATTTTCATTTATTTGTTTGCATATTTTATTTTTTGTTTTATTTTTTGTAGGAAGTTCCGAGACATGGCGTGGCTCTGTAGAAAAATACTTGATTGCTATGCAGAATTTTTGGGTTCGATTTCTGCTGGGACCTGGATCTTTATTATTTGCCTCAGTCGGGTCAACGCTGCCAATTTACGTATTTTTTCAGGCTCTTGCATTTAAATTATCGATGTCTGTTCTCACCGTTTGACAACGTGTGTTTGACAACGCCTTGGCGAAATTGTTTGACAACGTGCCCGACGAGATATTCACAGTATTCACGTTGTCACCAGACATTTCTATGCGTCAAGCCCTCTTACCTTCCCAATACTAATTGTGGACAACACGAGAGCATGATCACGCGATCACGAGAGCTCCCAGATAGATAGATAGATAGATAGATAGATAGATAGATAGATAGATAGATAGATAGATAGATAGATAGATAGATAGATAGATAGATAGATAGATAGATAGATAGATAGATAGATAGATAGATAGATAGATAGATAGATAGATAGATAGATAGATAGATAGATAGATAGATAGATAGATAGATAGATAGATAGATAGATAGATAGATAGATAGATAGATAGATAGATAGATAGATAGATAGATAGATAGATAGATAGATAGATAGATAGATAGATAGATAGATAGATAGATAGATAGATAGATAGATAGATAGATAGATAGATAGATAGATAGATAGATAGATAGATAGATAGATAGATAGATAGATAGATAGAGATCCGTCCAGTCGTGGCGAGACTGTCCTTTTGGCACTAATCCGGCGTGGCAAATGACCCGCTGGGTCAAGGCATAGCTTGATCGCTACAGGCCCTGCTACTCTATACGCTGGAAAAGGGTAACAGGAAAGCAATAGAGTAATAAAGGACTAGGATAAGTTAGGGAGGTGAGTTAGTGAACACAGTCTCTTCACGTTGGACCAGTCTAAATTAGCGCATCCAGTGGTTTGCAAGAAGTAGCTGCCGTGGCAGCAGTCCAGTGGCCTGCAGAAAAGCTACGACTGAGAATTACGGTGTTGGCAACGTAAAGGACTTGACACAGCCTTATTGGTTGATCCTCTATGAAAGCATGCAATCAAGGAAGTCAGTTTCTGACGTTCCCTTGCGTATACACTGGACATGCGCAAGATATGTTTAAGTGTTTCTTGAATTGACAGTGACCACAATGGGCACCGCTGCCACTGCAGCCAGCCATGTGGGGGGGGGGGGGGGGGGGGGGGGTAAGGTAAGGGGGTAAACAACAAGAGGGAAGGCAGGGAGGTTAACCAGGCATATGCCCGGTTTGCTACCCTACGCTGGGGGAACGGGAAGGGGGCATAAAGATGAGAGAGAGAGGAAAGAGACCATGTGTGCGTCTTCAGAAGTAGTAACGAGGTAGGAGCCCATGCTCTATCAGTTACGCATCAAACGGAGCAGGCATGTGAAAAAAAAAAAACCTCCCTTGCCAGGGGCAAGTGCTTTGTAACTGGCATACCAGCACAGACAAACGTTCTATTCGAACCAACTAAAATGTAATACGGAATACAGAACCGATAAATGCAGTTAGCATCACCTAGAGCTTCGCAAGCGCATATCCTGCCGCATCGAAGAGGTCTTTCTCTTCGCTTACACAATTACACTCATAAAACACTGTACCTGTCCTGTGTACCTGATCATGAAGTCATCTTCTTAATGTCTAACAATGTGTATACGATACCCACGAGCATATGTTACATGTTTGTCATTGCCACTCCCATATTCGCCGCACGTGTCATTACATATTGCGCGCAACCGCGCCGCTCTTGTGCTCACGTAAGTGCGAGAAAAGATTGCCCACATTTGTCGAGGATCGAATGGTGCAGCTCTATTTATCTCAATCGCCTTTAACACCCGGCAGTTGCTTCGGGACGACACAGGGTGATTACGCAGTTAGGCGTCACGACGGTGGATGACACTTGCGGTAATTCACCACCAACGCGTTTCACCTCTATAGTCAGGTTGTGCCGGGCAAAGGAACACATACGGGGCCAAGACAAAACGCTCGCTTTGGACGCCGAGACAAAAGTCGCGAAATCGGACACCTGCATGGCACCCCAACGGAACACCGCTGTCATATCGGCAACCGATGCGGAACATCGGCGGTGGCTGCACATATAAAACGGTGCAAGTATACATAATTCTTTCCCGACGGCCGAAAGGCATGTTACCGGGTGACATCTACCTCGCATATACCGTGCCTCTCGCACCTCGCTTGTTATCCCAAGTCTTTAGCACTGTAATGTATGATTGCTATTTGCGGAAACCTTATCCGCTGGTATCGGTTACCGCTTCACTGTGCCTATGGTCGATCGATGGCGTACCACCACATCCAACTTCGCGAATTAAGGAGGTGGGAGAATGTTTCGGTGTGACTTGAATTGCCCGCGATAGTATTATGAAACGAACCAAACACGATGGTGCAGGCCGCTGCGCTGGCGTAGGAATAAGGGTAGACGCTTGGTAAAGTTGGAACTAGTTCATAACTTCGTCTATCACAGCACGCAAATGCTTTCACAGCGATACTGTGCGTAACTTAGATGGGTACAACTTTAGAAGCCTGCGGCATTTCCTCCTCAAGGCGAAGGCACATAATCTTGCACCAATGAGGGCGTGCCCCATAGTGACGTCACCAGTCGGAAAGATCGTGACGTCGTATTGACTACGGACCTATTGAAAAGCCCTGCTCCGCCTTTGGAGAGCACTTCAATGTGCAAAAGCGTGAAGAAAAAGCGTGGAAATGACTTACCACATGATGTTGTGTCTGTAAGAAACTTCGACGCCTTTGTAGAAATGTTAAAAAGCTCACCTAATATTGTATGAAAAAAAAAAAAAAAAAAAGTGAATTATTTTTTTGTACGATAGTGTTTCATTGTTATTTGCTGTGCTTTAGTGGTGTTACCAACTGTTTATTTGTTCAAATGTAACCTAACCCTCATCCCGTTTACTGTAACCCCCCCCCCCCTATGTAATGCCCGGCAAGGGCCTTTAGGGTATGTGAATAAAAAAAAAAAAAAAGACTACTTTAGTCGTTGATGTGATCGGCTCCCGCGCTTGTTTCACACGGTGTGTGTGTGGGGGGGGGGGAGGCTGTTTGGATTTAAAGGGCCACTAAAGAGGAAAACAATTTTTCGCGTATTAGCAAAGTAAAATTTCCCAATGCCACAATCACACGACGCTCATTAAGCGATAAAACAAGCGAAAAGAAAATGTGGATGGAGACACCACCTTGAGATTGCCACAGTAAACACCGTGACGTCATAGATATTGACGTGACGTAGCTTGTAGCTGCGTAGCTTGTAATCGATAAAAATGAAGTACATTGTCATCTGTGGGTTTCACAGACCTAGCATACAAAGTTTCGGAAAAGTCCATCGAGCCAATGCCGCGAAAGTACAAAAAGTACAGTTTGAAATTTTGACGTCACGGGTGGCCATTTTTGGTGCAAAATTTAACAATAAAGCCTTGACTAGTTTTCTCCGCTAATAATGAACTTGTGACAGTTAAACATGTAGCATTAGAGTTGCCA